GTCGCTTCGGGCGCCCGCCGCTGATCTTCCCGCGCGGGCGCGGGGCTTCTTGCCATCTGGGTTGCTGGGCCCCGCCGGCGCTCTTCGGCGACCGCCCAGCCGGGCGCCCGGGCTCCAGGTCCTCGCCGGAAGCGCGAAGCCGCTCGAACGAACCTGGGCGAGCATCGCAAGAGAGGCAGGCGTGGGGGCCGCCCCCCAACAGCTGCCGCGATACACCAGCGCCGCGTTCCACAACCCGCATCGCACACAGCTCGACGCGGAAGACTGCGGCATATCAACCGACGGTGCCTCTTTGTGCAGCGACAGCCCCGCGTCTCCCCTCCGCGGGAACGGCCGGCGAAGACCGCGACGCAGACGGAGCCGCCGCGCGAGTGGCCGCGCGACGGAAACAGCGCAGGAATAGTTTGATAACGAAATCACCGCTGCTCGGCCAAGCCGCCTCATGGCCCTTTCGCGCGAGGTCGGCGGCCAGAGGCGGCAAGATTCGCGGTGCGTGTGCCAGCCATGGAGAAGGCGCGAGCCGCGACCGCTTCCTGCCGCCGCTCAGCGAGCTCGTCCAGACCATCCGCTGGCGGGAACCTCTGAGCATCGCGGCCCAAGACGCGCCCATGGCCGCCCTGCCTGACGGGCGAAGGCTTTCTTGCTTTACGAGGGGCCGCCAGGGGGGGAGCTCGCAGACGCCGCCAGGCCGCCCTTTGGTCGCCTGCCAGTGCGCCCCTGGCGCTCGGCATCCCGGCCGCCGCGGCCGCGCGAAGGGGCGCCGACGAACGCCCCCGCCGCGAACGCGACAGTGGCCAGCAACACCACTACTGAGACTGCGGCCAACAGCAGCTCCGCAGGGAGCGCCGCGACTGCGACCGGCAGCGCCGCCGCCAAGATGGCGGCCGGCAACGCCACCGCCGACGGCGACGACTGCGATCAGCAGCGCCGCCACCACGGCCGCGGCCAGCAGCAGCGCCGCCACGACGGCGGCCAGAAACATCGCCACGATGAACACCGCGATTGCGACCAGCATCAGCGCCGCGGCAGTTGCGATCATCGCCGCCGCATGGGCGCCTGCATCGCCACGGGCACAGTCGACCCCAGGGTCGGCGCCAACATCTTCGATCTCAGCCTCGACTCCAACATGGTCGACGCCAGCAGCGAAGCAGGCGTCGTTGCCAGCGCAGTTGGCTCCAGCATCGACGCCGACATTATCGACCCCAGCATCGCCGCTCGCATCGTCGACGCCAGCATCGACGCCTGCATCGGCGTTGACGCCACCGCTGGCGCTCGGGGATGATATTGGACCCCCACCCCCCGCAGATGGCGCCTGCGCGGCGGGGGCCCCCCCTCTCTCGCCCGCGGACCACCGTCCTTCCGCTGCGGGCGGGGGCGGGGGTCACGGCAGAGGGGCGCCCCAACCGCGGAGGGCCTTCTGGGGGGCGGACGCGGCTTCGAGGCCGCGCCGCGGCGGTGCTGCCAGTAGACATGGGGAGAAAGGAAGCGAGGTGAGTTGGGCCTATATGATGCGTCGCGGAGACACTAGCAGCGCATGGGAAGTCGTGCGCTGCGTTGACAGCCTTTGCACATCCAACCGTCTTCAAGTAATAACGCCGCGGAAGCATTTGCCGCAGCTCGCAGTCTGGGCGAATCCTACCCTACTCTGGCAACGCTGCGTGATTTCATCAGGAGGCCCCTGAATCCTTCAGAGTTCAGACGCCTTCCTGAATTCGGTGGGTTCTGCGTTCAAGTATTCCTCGCGATTGGCGCCGGATCGGTCTACGAGTCCCTTGCCAGCGCAGATCTCAAGCCACCAGCGGAGACGGCATTGTCTTGGGCCATGTCAGCTTGCAAAGAGAATTAGTGGTTCTTCTCGGCGCCGTCAACAGCGCGCGGTGGCACGGCGCCCTCGACGCGGCGGTAGATTCGCTTGCCCTGACCGCCTGCCTGGAACGGGCGGCCCTCCCCGTGGGGTTCGGGCAACAGGGGGGCACCTAGGCCGACGGAGGGGTCCACGAAAGGGGGATGGGCCTCCGACGCTCGCAGCGTCCTGGGGCCGGCCTGGGATCCGCCTCCTCACCTCAGGGTCTCCTCTCCCTCTTGGCGTTTCACCCCCATTGCATGAGGGGGGCATCGAACTCCCGGGAGTGGCAGCGGCCCTTAGCCAGGGCCCCCGGAACTCCCACTAGCAAAAAGAGCATCGCAGTCACGTCCCTCCCCCGTTTAAACGTCAGCGTACCGCTATTAGAGTTCATCGAAGATGCGCCCACGAGTACCAAACGTGAGCGTATCCTGTTTATCCGCCCGGCGTCAGTTGCCGTTTGGGCCCGGGGGGTCCGCCGATTTTGAACAACCCACCCACCACCCTGGGGCATCAAGTTCTTGGGAGCGGCAGATGCCCTGATCCAGGGTCCCCGAAACCGCCACCAGTAGAAGGGGCATCACCGTCACTTCCTTCCCCTTTTTCACCGCCATCGCACCGTCATGAAGGCTCATCGGAGATACGCTTTCTAGATTGCGTTAAGCTTTGGCCCGTCTCTGGAGTGTGAGCGGTGCTAGTATGAGTGAGTATGAGTACGGGCGAGTGAGTCCTAGTGCGCGTGAGTCAGAGCATGGGTGGATTTGTCACTGGGTACGAGTATGAGGGAATGTTTGCTCGAGCAGGCTTGAAGTTCATTGAATATGGTTGCGAGCGAGTCTGAGTGTGAGTGATCGCACTATGATTGGCCCAATGTGGGTAATTCGGATTACGACGACGCTGAGTATGTATGGCCTGAATTTAATTGCGGTAAGCTTGGTATGAGTGCGCGACGGACGAGGGTGGGTGAGGCGGAGGATGCGGGGCGTCGCGTTGATAACAGTAAGTCGTCCCAGGCTATGAGGACTCGCACCAGAGACGTCATGAGCTTCCAACCGCACGCGCAACAATTAGCTAGACTTATGTTGGATGTGGAGGCTGAGGTTTTCAAAGCATAGTTCCCTGCTGCCCCGTGTGGCACAGGCAGCAGCCGCATTCGCCCACAGCTCAACTCCTAGGCTGGTTACGTTTGGGCCCGTAGATACGATTTGGTAACCGCGTTGTGAGACCTCGGGGGGGTTCAGGCCACCTGGACCTCCACAAGGTGCACCCTTCATTTAGAGCTTCAGCGCCGTAGCTTCGGTCCTGCGCATCCCCACCCGCCCTGCCCTAGCTTCATTCAAAAAAGTACAGGCGTTGTACTGAGCCGCCCGAAGCTGGACCTGCCAAGCGTGATCAAGGTGGTCAAACAAGGGACCAACAAACTGAACCTCCGCGTTGCGTGGGCTTCCGGACAACGGGACTTCCAAAGGCTGGTGGAAGGCGGCTCTGGTAGCAGGAGTCGCACCCCAAAAGCAATTCCATTCAGAGCTACGTTCAGAAACTGGGCAACGTCCACAAGGGAATCAGAAAGGGAGCTGGGCGAAACGCCCCAGTGACAACAACTCCAGGCGCAGACAAGCTTGCCAATCTTGTCCCAAGGCGGCGTAGTGGAGAGGCCACTGGTGTCTCTCTTAGCACTCCAGGAATATGTTTCTACGATTGACTGTGCCAGGATGGGTTCTGTCATTGTAAAGATCGCTGCCCTTCGCGCACCCACAAGTTCACGTTCTGTACTTATAGCAGTGGCGTGTAACGCATCAGTCCTACAGGAGGTGATTAGATAATTGGAAATTGATGAGGTAACTGGCCTACCATTCCTGGAACGAGAGTCCTGCCGAGCACTCCCCAAAAACGAGCAAGGCCCAATATGACTTGCTTCCAGCAGGTGCCTAACCGACCCAGCCGTGTAAAGATGTAGGCGCTCACGGGTGACGCAGCTAAAGGGTTCCAGCTTAAGCCATCTTGGCAATCGCATGTAGCTCGTTGAGGGGGACCGCTCTACAGAGTCGGGGAATTAAAGTGAGGTCAACGTCGAAGATGCGGGGTGGGCTAGGGGCAGGGACCCTTGAGCGTGTGCTGTTCCATCGTGCCGGAGCTCGCCCGCCTGGCTTGAGGGAGGTCGGCTGCTGCGTTCCGTGGGGGGGCACAGGCTTTTGCGGGCACGCAACCCCGTACCCGCCCTCCGCGCCCCTTTCACGCTCTATCGTTTTTTTTTGTTCTCTCTCTCTCTCTCTCTTTCTCTCGTTCTCTCTTTCTTTCTCTCTCCCTCCCTCCCTCTCTTGCTCTCTCTCTCTCTGTCTCTCTCTTTCCCTTTCTCACTCCCTCTTTTCTTGTTTTTGTTGTTGTTCTTTCTCTCTCTCTTTCTCTGTCTTTCTAAATCTATGTCTTTCTGCACTCCATGATGTCTTGTGTATTTCTCATGTTTTGTCTCTCTCTCTCTCTCCTCTGTTTCTCCTCACTCTCTCTCTCTCTCTCTCCGTCTATGATCCCCTCTATTTGTTCGTCTCTTTATCATTCACACCAGCGTGCGAGTGCCATTTGCGGCTCTGGAGATTAATTGCCGTGTTTGTCTATTGTCATTGCGAACGGCTCTGCGTGAACATGGCTGCTGTTGGCATCCACACTGCCCCCTGGCGGCAAGTGAGTGCGACAGCTGCCGGCCGATCTTATTGGCTGGCTGAACGTGAGTCGTGAGTGGCAGGGCGGGTGAGCAGATGAGGGTTGGTAGGGGTGGGGAGACCCGAGCAAGCTGTCATGAAGGATGTGCCAGAATAGTGTGGAGGTGCAGGACAATAGCATCTCGGGGATCTTGTGCCACTTGGCTTCACGGTGCCGCCTTGCCGTGCCCTTGCGGATCAATTTCTGCCGAGGGTGATCACGGAGCATCGTATTTGTTGAAGCCGACGTCAAGTCACGGACACACATGATCTTGACTGACTGATCAGCGCAATGGTCGGCGTCGCGCTCGGGTTATGGGCCGGATCGTGCAGGAGGGAGTGCCAAGAATGAGCAAGACACACAATCACAAATTCCATCAAGCAGGGTGGAGGGCATTTGGACATGGACCGATTGTGAGCACGGGTGCGATCGGGCCTCCATCGGCTGAGTGAGGGCCGAGGTCAACGAGCCATCGTGCTCGTCCAGCGCGCCTTGGCGGCAGACCGCCGCCAGCACTGCTGCTGCGCAGTTGCCAGCGCCATTGGCTGCGGCTCCGTGGCGCGGGGACCCGCCCAACCGCCGATCTGATCGAGAAGAGCCCCCTCCACCCCCCCCCCGCGTCAGCTGTTGTTCGCATCCTGGTGCCCGAAGCGCTGAGCTTCGCCACAATGCCAGCACATCATCTTGTGTGGTGGCGCCTCACCGATCGCCCTAGACGGATCTCTGCGCAATGACCCATGAGTGCGTGACATGTGCTAGTTGTCTACGACAGTGCCCAGAGGGACGTAGCCTGCATCACTTGTCAGTCCCAGGCTCTTGAGGGCCATCACCTTTATCAGCCCGTTGCCCCGTTCCAGAGAAGGCCGTGACACGCGGCAGTTGTATCCCAGCCCACAAGGACACAATGTGTGACAGGTTTCCTCCCTAGTTGTACTCAGGCTTTCGGGGGCCGTTTGCAGGAGCCTCTCTCGGAGTCCCTTGGGAGCTCGTCGGAGGCCTTTGGGAGACCTTTTGGGCCTCTTATGGGCGTCTTCGGCTTGCCTTTTTCTGGAGCTGGGCTGTCCGGTCCTGAGCCCGCGTTGGGTCCGTCTTGGGCCAGTTTTGTTTTGCTTTGGGGAGTCTCCCCTGCCAATTCAAACTTCAAGGACGCCTTGGGCACTTTTTACTAGTAGGCTGCCTTCTGGACGCCGCGGAGTGGTTTTAGCATGTTTGGCCCGAACTGGTTTCTGGAGGGGCCCAGGACGGCCCAAGAGAGCTACAAGACGGCCCTCAGAGGACACCAACGTGGCCGAGACTGCTCCCAGCTGTCCCCGAGGCGCATCAAGACGGCCGCACAGAGCCCCAGGAGGCTCCTGAGACGATCCAGGAAGCCCTCAAACAAGATCCCCAGATCGCCCAGCAGAGCCCACAAAGACGCCGCGACTTTACAAGGGCGCCGCCAGCAGCCAGGAGCAGCCAAGATCACCAACCATCAGCAGCATCGAGCAGCAGCAACATCGGATGTAAGCAGCGAGCAGCAGGAAACATACGCAAACAGTTACAAGCAGCAGCAAGCTGGGACAACGAAACGGCAGCCACAATCAAGCAACATTAGCTTGGCAATGGACCCAAGCATATACAGTTGTGAATACAGTCGTTGTTAGTATCGCCTTCGGTGGATCTCCATCTTATGGGGCCACGAAGTGCGTGAAGAGTGTGTGTGCTGGAACGGGAAGGGCCGCCATGCGGGCGCTGCTACTGGGGCCTGATGTAGAGCCCCTCTTGTGGGGCCACGAAACGTGTGAGGGGTGTGCCGAAATGGGGCGGCGCCGCCGCGGACTGTGCCACTGGGACCTTCGGTGGAGCTCTTTATGGGACCACGAAACGTGTGCGGGGTGTGCCAAAATGGGGCGGCGCCGCCATGCGGACTGCGCCACTGGGACCTTAGGTGGAGCTCCCTTATGTGCCACGAAAACGTGTGAGGGGTATGCCGAAATGGGGCGGCGCCGCTGTGGGGCCACGAAATGTGTGAGAGGTGTGCCACAATAGGGCGGCGCCGCCATGCGAACTGCGCCACTGGGACCCTAGGTGGAGCTCCCTCATGTGCCACGAAACGTGTCAGGGGTATACCGACATGGGGCGTCGCTGCCATGCGAACTGCGCCACTGGGATCTTAGGTGGAGATCCCTGTGGGGCCACGAAAGGCGTGATTCAGTCAGTCAGTCAGAAGGCGTGCATCAATGAGACGCGTTGGCAAAAGCATCCGGATCACTGTTGGACCCGTGCTTGGTGGTCCACCTGCCACTAATTATACAAACCCTCCAGGTTACGATGGCGCGCGGCGGAAGAAGGAGCGCATCACGACTGTGAGGCACAAGTGCAGAGCACAACACGCGATTGTGAAGCAGAAAATGCAGCGCCCGACTGTGAAGCACACAACACAAAATATACAACTGGCCGATCAGCAGGAGGAGGGGAGGGAGGGGAGGGGAGGAGGAGGAGGAGGAGGAGGAGGAGGAGGAGGAGGAGGAGGAGGGAAAAGCAGCGAGACAAAACAAGTCAGACATGCATCTGTTCCAAAGCAAACGCTGATTTCGCCCACTGCTGTCGCGGACGCCCTCTGCCGCGGCGGTGCGCCCAAGTTTTTGGGGTACCATCCGGGTGGCACACAACACGTCGTATTAAAGAGTCCGCCGGCTGATTCGCTATGTTTCTGTACAGTGTGATCTGTTTTTCGGTACAATTTGTGACAGGAGCAAAGTCTCAGCCTTTTCTAAGACAGTCGCGTTGGAAACTCTGGATACAAACGAGTGCGGGATACCAAGGATCTTGCGCAAACGCTTGCAGTGAAACGCATCGAGTCTACCTCTTTCTGCTTTCAGCAACCACAGAGAATCCAGAGAATATAACAGCTTGCTGATCACGCAGCTCCATGAATGTGCAATTTGCGGCATTGCCAACTTGAGGTGTGACACCATAGTTCTGAAGCTGCCTGAATATGGTTGTGCTTTCACCTATCCGTCGTGAAACTTCATTGATTGCCCTGCCGTCGCAAGTCAAACACCCTCCTAGGTATGTAGCTTCTCTGACGCTTTTGATGGGATCTCCGGTAGGTTGTTTCAACTTACTCTGGCAACAAATTAGTATTTGTATTTTTTGTCCCAATTAAGCTCCATGCCGTATTTTTGCCCCTCCAATACGATATTGTCTAACATCTGTTGTAAGTCTCCAGCGTGGGTAGACACGAGTAGGGTGTCGTCCGCGTAGAGGAGGTCTCTGGTGACAACGTACTCTGGTGTTCTCAGTTAGTACAAGAGCAGACAGAGCGTCGTGGAGAAGAACAGTTTGCACGATTATAAACAGATGTGGCGACAGAGGACAGCCTTGGGCTATGCCCGCCATGTGCGCCCTTTCACCTGAACGGCCGCAATGGTCCGCTATCGTAAAATATCTGTGTGCGTATATTCCTTTGATCATATCTACCATAGGAGGCGGGATGCCAAAACGCCCCAAGGCTTCGCATAGACAGTCTGGTTTGATGCGGTCGAAAGCGTTTGCCCAATCCAATAGTAATAATATCATTCCATCGTTTTTGTTTTGATGACCTGCATCTACCATTCTTCGGATAAGCGATAATGCTGCCGCCGTGCCGCGTTTCGGCCGGAAGCCAAATTGAGATTGTCGTATCCGGTCCTCGGCGCCTCCTTCGAGAAGCCTCCAATGCAGCATCGCTGCGAGTGTTTTGTAACCGACGGCAAGCAACGATATAGGGCAGTAGTTGCTAGGTAGCGTCGCATCCCCCTTCTTGAATAATACAGTTTCGTTAGCTTTCTTCCACACTGTAGGCAAGTCTTTCTCCATCCAGCATTTGACATATCTCTAAAACCGCATTGCAGGCATCATTACTTTTTCCACTGGTCTTCCCACATTCCGGGGGTACATCATCTGGGCTTGCTGCCTTTCGGTTCTTCATCTTGTGGAGAGCACGCCGGAGCTCGACGAGAGTGAAAACGGATGTGTCCACGTTCAAGTCTGGACCCAATATTTCATTTGATGCAGGCGTCAGCTCTGCAAACCGTACTTGCCATGGCATTTTTCCCAACCCTCCTTGGTTGGGTATTCGTTTTGAATAGAGGGGTGTGGTCGCGTCCTTCTCCCGCCCCCCCCTGTGGTCGCCGTCCCTGGGGGGCTGCGATCTGCGAAACTGTCGCCACTTTCGAGGGCTGCTGGTGGGTCCTGCGGAGTGAGGCCCCAGGCGGATCTGAGGTAGACCTCGCCGTCCCTGGGGGGCTGCGATCTGCGAAACTGTCGCCCCTTCGAGAGCTGCTGGTGGGTCCTGCGGAGTGAGGCACTGCACGGATCTGAGCGAGACCTCGCCGTCCCTGGGGGGCTGCGATCTGCGAAGTTGTCGCCACTTTCGAGGGCTGTTGGTGGGTCCTGCGGAGAGAGGCACCGCGCGGATCCGAGGTAGGCCTCGCCGTCCCTGGGGGGCTGCGATCTGCGAAGTTGTCGCCACTTTTGGGGGCTGCTGGTGGGTCCTGCGGAGTGATGCCCCAGGCGGATCTGAGGTAGACCTCGCCGTCCCTGGGGGGCTGCGATCTGCGAAGTTGTCGCCACTTTCGAGGGCTGCTGGTGGGTCCTGCGGAGTGAGGCCCCGCGCGGATCTGCGGTAGACCTCGCCGTCCCTGGGGGGCTGCGATCTGCGAAACTGTCGCCACTTTCGAGGGCTGCTGGTGGGTCCTGCGGAGTGAGGCACCGCGCAGATCTGAGGTAGACCTCGCCGTCCCTGGGGGGCTGCGATTTGCGAAACCGTTGCCACTTTCGAGGGCTGCTGGTGGGCCCAACGGAGTGAGGCACCGCGCAGATCTGAGCGGGACTTCGCCGTCCTTGGGGGGTTGCGATTTGCGAAGCTGTCGCCACTTTCGAGGGCTGCTGGTGGGTCCTGCGAAGTGAGGCACCGCGCAGATCTGAGGTAGACCTCGCCGTCCCTGGGGGGCTGCGATCTGCGAAGCTGTCGCCACTGTCGAGGGCTGCTGGTGGGTCCAGCGGAGTGAGGCACCGCGCAGATCTGAGGTAGACCTCGCCGTCCCTGGGGGGCTGCGATCTGCGAAGCTGTCGCCACTTTCGAGGGCTGCTGGTGGGCCCTGCGGAGTGAGGCCCCGCGCGGATCTGAGGTAGATTTCGCCGTCCCTGGGGGGCTGCGATGTGCGACATTGTCTCCACTTTCGGGGGCTGCTGGTGGGTCCTGCGGAGTGAGGCACCGCGCGGATCTGAGGTAGACCTCGCCGTCCTTGGGGGACTGCGATCTGCGAAGCTGTCGCCACTTTCGAGGGCTGCTGGTGTGTCCTGTGGAGTGAGGCACCGCGCGGATCTGAGCGGCACCTCGCCGTCCTTGGGGGGCTGCGATCTGCGAAGTTGTCGCCACTTTCGAGGGCTGTTGGTGGGTCCAGCGGAGTGAGGCACTGCGTAGATCTGAGCGAGACCTCGCCGTCCTTGGGGGCTGCGATCTGCGAAGCTGTCGCCACTTTCGAGGGCTGCTGGTAGGTCCAGCGGAGTGAGGCACCGCGCGGATCTGAGGTAGACCTCGCCGTCCCTGGGGGGCCGCGATCTGCGAAGTTGTCGCCACTTTTGAGAGCTGCTGGTGGGTCCAGCGGAGTGAGGCACCGCGCAGATCTGAGCGAGACCTCGCCGTGGGGCTGCGATCTGCGAAGTTGTCGCCACTGTCGAGGGCTGCTGGTGGGTCCAGCGGAGTGAGGCACCGCGCAGATCTGAGGTAGACCTCGCCGTGCTTGGGTGTCGGCGATCTGCGAACTTGTCGCCATGTTTGAGGCCTGGTGGTGCGCCCAACAGAGTGAGGCACCGCGCAGATCTGAGCGGGACTTCGCCGTCCTTTGGGGGGTGCGATTTGCGAAGCTGTCGCCACTTTCGAGGGGTGCTGGTGGGTCCTGCGGAGTGAGGCACCGCGCAGATCTGAGCGAGACGTCGCCGTCCCTGGGGGGCTGCGATCTGCGAAACTGTTGCCACGTTCGAGGGCTGCTGGTGGGCCCAGCGGAGTGAGGCACCGCGCGGATCTGAGCGGGACCTCGCCGTCCCTGGGGGGCTGCGATCTGCGAGACCGTCGCCATTTTCGAGGGCTGTTGGTGGGTCCTGCGAAGTGAGGCACCGCGCGGACCTCAGCGGAACCTCGGCGTCTTTGGGGGGCTGCGATCTGCGAAATTGTCGCCATTTTCGCGAGCTGCTGGTGGGTCCAGCGGGGTGAGGCACCGCGCAGATCTGAGCGGGACTTCGCCGTCTTTGGGGGGCTGCGATCTGCGAAACTGTTGCCACTTTCGAGGGCTGCTCGGGGGGGCAGCATAGCGATCTGTGAAACTGTCGCCACTTTCGAGGGCTGCTGGTGGGTCCAGCGGGGTGAGGCACCGCGCAGATCTGAGCGGGACTTCGCCGTCGCTGGGGGGTTGCGATCTGCGAAACCGTCGCAACTTTCGAGGGCTGCTGGTGGGTCCAGCGGAGTAAGGCACCGCGCAGATCTGAGCGAGACCTCGCCGTCCCTGATGGGCTGCGATCTGCGAAGCTGTCGCCACTGTCGAGGGCTGCTGGTGGGCCCAGCGGGGTGAGGCACCGCGCAGATCTGAGGTAGACCTCGCCGTGCTTGGGGGGCTGCGATCGGCGAATTTGTCGCCGCTTTCGAGGGCTGCTGGTGGGCCCAGCGGAGTGAGGCACCGCGCAGATCTGAGCGGAGCAGCGCCGTCCTTGGGGGGCTGCGATCTGTGACACCGTCGCATCTTTCGAAGGCTGATGGCGGATTCAGCGGAGCGAGGCACCAGGCAGATCTGAGCGAGACACCGCAATCTTTGGGGGGGCTGCGAGCCTCACGAATGCCGCTCGCAGACGTATATGCGCCCATGCCACGTCATAACCTCCGTATAACGTCTCCCAAGCTATCCATGCCCCGCATTGCGCAGGGGTTGGGTGCGTCGCCAGGGTAATTTCGAAATAGTCCGCGAGAATGTTCACTCGCTCAGCTGTGTCTGTCATGTGCCCGTCCAAGTCTCGAATATCAGCGTGCTTCTTCGCAGCAGGCTTGCGCAATGTTCGTACTCCTTGCCAGCTTCCTCCGACTAGTGTTTGTTCAATCCAAGTTTGCTTGTCAGTTTGGCCTGCCTTCCTTATTGCTTTGTTCACCGCTTTCTCCTTGTCGTAGTCCTGCGCATGACGGTGAACGTTCCTCTCTTCAATCAAGTTGAGTGTCGATTGAGATATCCATGGACGCCGAGATGCGACCGTACGTGTTCGCAATGCTGATGACGCCGTCGTGAACGCAGAAGTCAAGTTAGCCTCCATGGAATCCAACGTAGCACAATCCCCTGTGGACTCCCAGTGGTCGGAACACCTGCAGACGAAAGCTGCGTCCTCGTCTGGGTCAGCCAAAGAAGAAACGCGTGATGGGTGTGCCAAAATGGGGCGGCGGCGCCATGCGCACTGCGCTACTGGGACCTTGGGTGGAGCTCCTTATGGGGCCCCGAAAACGTGTGAGGGGTGTGCCAAAATTAGGCGGGGCCGCCATGCGCAGTTCGCCATTGGGACCTTGGGTGGAGCCCCCTGTGGGGCCACGAAACGTGCGAGGGGTGTGCCACGATGAGGCGGCGCAGCCATTCGAATTGCGCCATGGGGCCCTGAGGTGGAGCTCCCTATGAGATCACGAAACGTGTGAGGGGTGTGCAGAAATTGCGAACTGCGCCACTGGGACCCTAGGTGGAGCTCCCTATGGGGCCACGAAGCGTGTGTGGGGTGTGCCAAAGTGGGGGGCGCCGCCGCCATGCGAACTGCACCACTGGGACCTTAGGTGGAGCCCACTGTGGGGCCACGAAACGTGTGAGGGGCGTGCCAACATGGGGCGGCGCCGCCATGCGAACTGCGCCACAGGGACCTTAGATGGAGCTCCCTATGGGGCCACGAAGCGTGTGACGGGTGTGCCACAGTGGGAGGGTGACGAGAGGAGAGAGGAGGGGGAACGAGGAGGGGGAGGAGAGTCGGAGGAGAGGAGAAGAGGAGAGCAGGGAAGTGGGGACCGTCTCTTCAAAACAAAGACCCAACACCGCAGGATGGTTGGGAACAAGGGGATCAGCGGCAAGTCGAAATCAAGAACATTGGCAATAACAGGCAATTCATGTATCAACGTGCGGCAGCATCAGCATGCAGCAGCAGCAAGCAGCAACTGTCAGCGGCCATCATGAACCAGCAGCAAGCAGCAGTGCAACGCAGTAAGTGGGAGCGACATCGAGAAACAGAATACAGCACGCACCGAGACGGACGCATAAGCAGCCAGCAGCAATCAGCAGCAAGCAGCGGCCAGCGGCAGAACGCGGCAGCAAACGACAGTCGATGGCCCCAGCGATTGCGCCATACCGCCAAGCCAATCCGGGCCTCGTAACCTTGTGGTCCCGCAAGATGGTTGGCGGGTGCAAGCTATTTCAACATTTGAAAGCAAAACGAGCCAGCGCGCGAATGATCATCCAGTTTCACGGCGACCGCAAGGAAGCCATATTGAGGCATCAAGCAAACGGGCCTTGCCGTAGAAGTAGATATCGAAGGTCCGTCGGTCAGGAAGTCGCCGATCGGTCTATCTACGCGATCGGGGCTCCCGATCGGCGGAGTGCCCCGCACTTGGCGGTTTGTCGGGCCTTCCAGATCAGAATTCAGACGAGGGCCAGTCCAGATCAGGGGATGTCTTGCGGGTTTCGCGGTGCTGGTGGGAAATTGGTATCCATCTCTGCAGGCGCAAGGTTGACGTTCATGTTGCCGCAGCGGCGCTGCCAGCCCCGGCCTCGGCTTCGAGCAGCCCCTGCAGAGCTGCTGTCGCGGAGATCCCGACAGCGACCGCACTGGCGGAGGAGATTGAGGACGGCGTGCAGGGGCCTGCGCGAAGGGGAGGTTGCTGGTGGGCGGGCAGGGTATGGGAAGGAGGGGGTGGAGAGGGAAGCACCACGTGCAATTTACCGGGGACATGGGGCAAGGAGGGGCTGCAGCTGCCTGCGAACCCCAGCGCCATTGTGTTCGAGATGCGGCTCGCCGCTCGCGATCCCCAAAAGCTGCAGAGAGCAGCGGAGCCGCTCAGGGACACCGTGTTAATTGCAGCCGCCCCGCGCATACGAGGACGAATCTGGATCGATAAACAGCCAAGGGGCATTTGTGCTTCTCTTGGTCTGCGCCAGTCTGCTCACGAAGGAGTTCCTAGACAAGCTGGAACAGGGCGGGCGCAGAGGCACTGCTTGAGGGGCTACTTCACCGCTGCCCCAGCTCGAAAATAGATCAAGGTCCAGCTTGAACACCTAAACTTCTAGTCCCGGATGTGGAGCAAGTCAAGGAGCGTCATTCGCGTCGCGGGCCGCAGGTAGTTCAACCCCTGCGCCGTGTATATGCTTTGGTTGCCGATGCCACTCACCTCATCTCGCACCATGCTTCCAAACCTGTTTGGGACCTTCATCGGAGGAAAAGGACGCTGCAGCGGTGGAGGAGGATAGGGCAGGCGGTACGGAACGTTTGATCGTCCCAGGTTTCTTGACTGTGGGAGGCGTGAGCGTGCGTCTCTGGCTATGCAGTCCAGCTGGTCTGGGATTTGGTGGGCCCATAGCTCCGAGTCAAGCTACCCAGATGTGACAGATGATTTCGCCGTGCCAGGGCCTCCTCCTCGTGCGCGTCTAACGATTGCGACGGCGGCAGCGAGCACGGTCTATGGTTCCACATTTATATATGGCCTCTGGCACGCAGTATATTTCAATATTCGCACTGTCAGTATGGCCGACTGGGCTTTTCGCTCGGGCCGTCCTCACGGTGTGGTCTCCCAGAGGTTATTATGTACACCCGCTGCACGGATGAAGGGGCGGATTGTTTTCAAAGTCATCACTTTAGTGCCGCGCGCATCCGCCTTACAAGCTGGAAGCAGTTTTACATGCTGAAGGCATGTTTCTCTTGCCTTTCTGCCACGAGCATTTGTTTGTTGGTTCCAAACGATCCTGTGGTGTTGGGCCCTTGTTTTGAAGAGACAGCGCCCCGCGTTCTCCTTGCTCCTCCCTCCTCCCCCTCGCCCCATCATGATCATCATCATCTTCTTCGCCGTCATCATCATAATCAGAATCATTACCAGCATCAACATAATCATCATCACCACCACCACCACCACCATCATCATCATCATCATCATCATCATCACCATCATCAACATCATCATCATCACCACCAGCATCACCATCATCATCAGCATAATCATCCATCTTGGCTCAAGGAACTTTCGAGGTAAAGGAACCGTTCGCCGAAACTCAGAGAAGCCCGCGCGCGCGATTGATTCAGTTTCTTCAGTTTCCCTCTGTCGACTGACAGTCTGGTGTCTCTTTCATGACCGCGATCGCGGGCTCTGCTGCGGCGACGGCGCTCCTTGAGGGCAAGCTTGGTGCGAAGAAGGCCCGAAGTGATGACGTGCCGACAGACGACGAGATGTGTGGCGGTCGGCCTCCGTTCGGCCTGGCCTCGAGCCACGCCGCGGGCACGCGCGGTGTTCCCCTTCCCGCAGGACCCGCGCCAGGCTCCCCAGCACTTCCTCCACCGCCTGCCGCGGGGCTGAGCAACGAGGCGCATGCGATGGTGATGGCGATCCAGATGTCACTTCGGCCACAGTTCGATGGAATCACTTCGGAGATCGACAATGTTTCGTTGAAGCCGACGACGATGGACTCGAAGATAGATGCGAATACCCAGCGGATTGGCGCCTTCAACACCAGATTCGGCAGGACGGACAGGAGCATTGCCGAATTGGCGGCGAGGACCACGGCGCTGGAGCAGAACGGCGTGGGCAGCACTGGATCGGCAAACTCAGTGATCGGAGATTCTGGCGGCACGGCTCATCGTCACCATCTTCACAATCCGTATGCCAGGGGCGCATCGTGGGTGCCCAAGACCAGAAGCCAGATTATCGTCGTGGGCGGCTTTCCGCAGGACGCGGGGAAGGCGACCATACTCCAGAAGTTCCTTGAGATCATTGCAATTTCGCTACAGTTCCCTGGATGGACGGGCCCTGACCTGGTGGAGGATTGTTACACCCCTGGACAGTTCGGCCTTCAAGGGCCATCGCTTCACACACGAGGGGAAGACGCTGTTTCACCAGATTGACAACGCGGAGAGTGAGATGACCATGACAGGAAAACGCCGGCAGCTCGAAACTTTCTCACCAGCGAACTGAAGAAGCTGAACATTGTCGGCCCGAGCCCGTCGAAGGAAGACCTCATCAGCACGGTGCCGAGCGACTGCGACTCGGGGGTCGTGCGCTACAGCGCGACCGACGGCCGCATCGCCAGGATCTACGAGGCGAACCGAGTGACGGGAATCTTCGAGACATCGACGACGGCAGGCGGCGCGGCGCTAAACATTCGCTTCGCCGAGGCCCTGCAGGACATCAACTTCGGCTCCCGCAGATGGATGGGCCCAGAAGAGGCCCAAGACAGGTGCGCCACATTGCGAGCTGTTTTTTTGGAATGTGCGAAGCATCGAATCCAAATTGAATGAGTTTTGTGCTGAACTGGACAGGGATCCGAAGTGGGATATTCTTTTACTCCAGGGGGCAGCATGCTCTGACAATTTTGTCTGCACATGTTTAGGCTCAGGCCATATTCCTTTTGTCTCGAGCTCCGATCAGGGGCGTAGAAGGACTGCCGCGGCGGTGAATCGCTCGTTTGAGGGGGGCATCGGCGCAGACTTCAGTCAGAAGGGAGAGGCCATGCCTGCGGGTGTTCGTTGGGGGTCGCAGATCATGCTTCTCATCGGCGCGCTCATGCCCCCTCATACGGTCACGTGAGGGCCTACAATGCATGCCTAGATCACATACATGAATTGATAGCTGGCTCACCTTGCCAACATTTAGTGATTGGGGTGGACGCTCAGACGACGGCTGGAAATCGATATGCGGGTCCTTGGTTAGGACCTCGAACCTCCATTCGACGGGGCGACGCTGCTGCCCCCCCTCTTGAATTCCGTGAAAACCTACGACCTGGCCTTGGTTAACACCCTGGACTCGGCGCCCCAGGAACGCTGGGCGTGTCGCTATGATAACAAACGCGGGTTTCGCCCTCGTCAGATCGACTTCGCCGGGGTGTCTCGGGGCCTGTTCGATAACGACGCGCAGTTTGAAGTGTCGACCGCCGCCTCGGCCGCGACGGACTCGGACCGCCGGCCTACTGTAGTGGAGCTGCTAGATCAGGAAGCGCCTCGACCTCCGAGGACGATCGTATCCCCCAGGTCAAATTTGCGCTGGCACATGCACTATTCAGAGTGCCCGTTTTTGTTTTGCGAGAAGCCGGGGCTGCCCGGGGCGCCCCCGTTCGATGGGGGCGACGGTCGAGCCGCCCCTGGATCGCAGAGGTTGGCCCGTCTGGTCCGATGGGAGTTTCTTCGAGGGACGTCGGTCACCAAAACGGGTTGAACCAACGGCGGGGCGGGGCTTTGCTGCGTTTCCTCTTGGATGTGGCGCGCCGACATCTAGGAACGAGTCGCCAGTCTCGGCGCGAGGGCCAGTCGCGAGCGACCCGAATCACATTGCGTTCCTAGGTGCCGTGAGGAAGACGAATGGCACGGCCGAGATCACGGCCATGATCAAGTTGTGCTTCTGTCTTCTTAAACAAGGACAGGTCCAATTTGGCTTCGCTCTGTGATCCCAGGGGCCCGAAAGTGACCGGGGGCCGACAGGTGCCTGATACTCCTGGGGGCCACCATCGCGTTGCGCGTCGACGCGAAGCACGCGATCCAAATGGCGGAGGGGGGCGTGCGTCCACGAGGCAACGTTCTGAATGCACACCTCCGGAGGCACTTGATGCAGAACGCTCGAAAGCATCTCAAAACCGACATCGTCTGGGGCAAATGTCGCCCGACGGAAAACGTGGGGAACGACTTCGCTGATTATCGAGCGAAGCAGCGGGCCACTCTGCCCGCAAAAGATGCTAGATGGCTGCGCCCCCGCCAGGCTGATTGGTTTCAAGGCAACTTTCTCCGTCTGCTGGGTGGAGCCCAGCAACTGCTTTTGCCTGCGCACGAGCAGTTGGCGACACGGAGCGCAAGGCTAAACGTCAGCTGCCCGCAGTGCCTCCAAGGGGGCGCGACCGAGGGGGCTCTGTGCCTCCCATTGCCACGACTGGATTCGCAAGGCCTCGATCCCCCGACGATTTCGAAGTTCGCAGGCGCTGCGGCCAGCGTTGCAGCTCGTCGCGGGCAGGGATGGGGCGAGATCTTCAGCTGGCGCAGTTTCACCGGACAACCCGCTACTGCAGCGCTCGCGGGACCTCCAGCGGCAGCTACGGGCGGAATCCAGAAGCCATGTCCGCCGGGCCCTGGCGAAGGAATTCCACAGGTCGAGCCGCGCGATATCTCGACTACGAGGGGCGGCTAAGATCGACGGGAGCCTGAAGACGAAACGATTCCCTGCACGACCGAGAGCACGACCCAGAATGCGCATCTTACGACGACCGCTCGACGACGGATCTATTCAGACGGCGACGACGACGAAAAAGGAATCCCAGATGTTGACCTCCTTCCACTCCGACCTCTTCGGCAACCCCCGCCGCGTTGTCCAGGGAGATCACCCTAGGGCGCCCCCGGGAAAGCCCAGAGTACGTCGGAGACCCGCTTGGATACAGGCCCACTGGGGCCCCGCTGCGCTGGACTGTTTTAGGCGACTGGATCGGGGATGGGTGAGTGACGGTTTGATGACGATGGATACGGGGAAGCAGGGGTCCAAGACAGATGGGGCGGCGGTGGATATGTTGTCCAAGTTGCCCGAGCAAGCGATGGAATGCGCGGCAGAGTCGTTTCGCAGCCGCCTGCTGAACGCTGAGGGCGAGGAGGAGGACAAGGCATGGGT